GCTGTCGCTAGATGACGACAAAAAACTCTCCCAACGCAAGAAACAAATTCAAATTGTCGCACGTTTGTTTTGAAAATTTGTTAACTAGCAGCTCCACGAGCTCTCGGACCTCGTGCGTCGAAATTTGCACTGAGTACTTAGTTGTTGCATCACATTTGCCAATGGAACACAGAAAATTGCCCTAAAATTACCAATAGAACGTAAAAATTGCACTCGTGCAGCACGAGTTTTGCCAATCGAAAACGCTATTAAAATCCTCGCTACGCTCGGATTTTAACCTGACATCTGCGCCTGTTATGATAGTCATAACATACCTTGGTATGTTAATAGCTATTATCCAGTACACAAGGTTACCTACTGTTGATTTTTTATGGAACAACTGTAGGCGCAGTCCAAATATAGGCAACTGCCGAAAAAACTTGTCGATTGAGAAGTTGAGCTTATGTTACTACAGGTTCTGAAACCATTCAATTCAAGTAAACCGCGCAAATTCCTACGAGTAAAAAATAAGGCAAATACGTTCACTGCGCGTCTAAAACCAGTTTTATGCACGGCGTTTTGCGTCGAGCGTTTCGATACGAGGAATTTGGCGGAACAGTTTACAAAATTAAATTTTGAACTGGGTACCTACTTACTTACGAGTTTATTAGGATCCTCAGATCCTTTATAGTTTTGTATTACCGTCCGTATGCACTCTAACTCTTTTTAAAAGTGGCCAATACCTACGGGTACTGTGGACATTAAGGACGGACTCTATTGATTTTCAGGAAGTTGGTTCAACAGGAACAAAAGTTATAGGACTTCGAGTGAATCGGGAACAGGAGAAACTGCGCGCTCAATATAGTATATGAAATCAACATATTTCATTCCCTAGGTCATGTATCGAGTTCGGAATTTCACTAGATTCTTCCCTATGACTCTTAGATGTGTAACAATTCAATATAACTCTTCGCTGTGACAGAGGTAAAAAGGTTTAGAGCAATATTTTTTACACATAAATTTGGAACGCATTATCTTGATGCTGAAAGAGTACATCACGTGCACATTTGATAACCGCATGCGAGACCGCATGTGTGTGATTCAAAGATGTTAAATTATTTTTCTGAGGTCACATGAATCTTGATCAAAATATGTCAAAATCGTTATTTATTCACGAAGATCGTTGAGAAAAAGACTAGGGGCATTACTCAATGCCCAAGACTAAAGACATGAATTTGATGCATTTTTTGCGACCACGTGGATTTTAATCAAAACATGTCAGAATCGTTATTTATGACCCAAGATCGTTGGGAAAAAACCAAGAGCATCATCTCATTGGCCAAATCATGAATTTGATCTATTTTTGGCGACTACATGGATATTGATCAAAACATGTCAAAATCGTTATTTATGCACCAAGATCGTTGGGAAAAAGACCAAGAGCATTATCTCATTGACCAAAACATGAATTTGATCTATTTTCGACGACCACATGGATTTTGTTCAAAACATGTCAAAATCATTATGCTTGCACTGATATCGCTGGACACAAGATTAAGATTATCTCAATGAGCAAGTCATGAATTTCATGCATTTTGTTAACTATAAAATGTATTATGTAAGATTTAAATAAATTGTCGATAACAGTGATTGTAATAGGTACTGAGGATCCTTCGATATGTCGTATCGGTTTATTATGAGCTGCGTTTGCTTGAGTTGGGTTCCATATTGAAAATAACCCCTACCCTTCCGCCCCTCTGTGTTCTTCCGAGATGCTTTGACTTAGTAGATTTGGTTGCTCAGCCCAAAAATGTGTTAAACATTTGAGGGGTATTAAAATTTAATAAAAACACTAAAATGAATTAACCAATCGTTTTATTTGTAGTTCACTAAGAGACATCCAGTGTGTTAGCGAGACAAAAAATAGGGTATAGTATAAGCCTAATTGTGAACGTGGAACGTGGAAGTATACCTAAGCCAAGAATACTATTATCCTCCTTTTTAGTTAATAGCGCGTTTTTCCAACCAATTTGAGTGCGCTATTGCACCCGCCTCTGTCTAATGCTACTGTAGTTTCCAATATATTCAGAATTCGTTCCTTTGTATTCGGTAGGTAACTTATTATAGCTCAAGCCAGGACAAATCTAGCGATTAATATGTGAAAATGTCGTAATGTCAACTTTCTTGTTTTAGGTATAGAGACACTTTTTTGACATTTTAACCAAAGGCAAACATATCGCATAGGTACAGTAAAAATGAAATGTGCGCATGTACAGATTCATTTTTTCCCTCCGAACAATAGTTAACGAGATATTCGAAGTCAAATGTGAAAAAACACGACATTTTCCCATTTTTTCTTCGTTTTTTGTTTATAACAATATGTTCCGGGCGTTTCCGGTCAGGGGGACTATGATTTTCGGATTCAGCGAATTTACATAGGATGCGCTTGGTGTCGTTGACTGAAGTGACAACATCCAGCGCAAACCGTAATTTGACTGGACTATATGTGTACCTCGTAGTGAAAGCAAATTCCCGAACTCCAATAATTCTAGTTGGCCTCGGCTATTGTAATTGTTGTCCGGGAATGTATCAATTTTACTATAACTCTCGCCAGGAAAGATTGCCGGTCACAGCACACCTTGTGTCGATTTACAATCTTTGTTTTTCTTAAGATGCGAGCGACTTCTGGAATAGGATCGTGCTAATGTTGAACAAAAAGTCTTTTCGTTCAACATTGACACGATACTATCCCGGAAGTCGCTCACATCTTTAGAAAAACATAGATTGTAGATCGGGATCAAGTGTCAATCTTTCCTGGCGAGAGTTATATACACAATCTACTATTTATAGCCGTAGTAGTGCAAACAATGGAAAATGATGATTATGATTAAGCCTTGTTGTAGTAAACACGCCCATTTCACAAAGTGAACACAATTAGCTAATAATGCAACCAATAGAAGAGAAGCAATTAAAGGTGATTTGCCGAACGTATATAGCATGATGTGTTGCCTAACGTTTGCATGCAGTTTTTCTACACTTTCGATATTGAGTGTTTTTCAAAATTTCGTTTTAAACGGCGTAGAACGAATTTGAAAACCCGGTCAAAAGCTTAAAATCTTCCTTACAACCTACTCATCCCGGCTATAAGAGGTTTTTTGTTAAATATCGCGTGAGACGCATGTAATCAGTCACATTATATATTTTTTTTATGTCCGGGTTGTGCCCTGTAAAAAAATTGTTTTTCAAAAATACGAAATTATGGGCTTATAGCCGGGTTCTTGAATAGTTACTGTAGATGTACAGATAGAGACCCTTTCTTCAACTCAGATCTTAAGCGCGTAAAACGACATTTCAAATAGCATATTTTTAGGCATTACCTAATGTACAACTGGAATCCCCCCGCAGTCTCATGTTGAACCATTAACCATTAATTTTGTTGGAATCTTGCTCAAAGTTAATTTTAATTGTAAATTAAAACTTAGTGGAAGCCGGATTGGAATTTGAGGATTTTGAAATTAAACCTCTCGCCAGGAAAGATTGCCGGTCACAGAACACTTGATCCTGGTCTACAATTTATGTTTTTCTAAAGATGTGAGCGACTTCCAGGATAGTATCATGTCAATATTGAACAAAAAGACTTTTCGTTCATCATTGGCACGATCCTATTCCGGAAGTCGCTCGCATCTTAAGAAAACCATAGATTGCAGATCAACACAAGGTGTGCTGTGACCGGCAATCTTTCCTAGCGATAGTTATATCTGTTACCGGCAAACTGCGAAATCCGGCATTTTGCAAAATCCCTAGGCATTTTGCGAAATGACCAATGCAGCAGGCAAAGTGAGAAATGGAACTCGACTTCGCACTTCGCCTGCCTCTCTTTAGGGATTTCGCGAAATGCCTAAACATTCAGGCAAAGTGAGAATTCTCGGTTATTTTTACAGATTGCGCGTGCAGCTGTGCCAAACGTAAAACCGTCGCGTTAGTACCTTCCCCCATTTGATATATTCTCCACAGAATATCTAAAGCGTGACTCAACAGACAACCCATGCAATCTAAACGTGAGCGCAATATTAGCGAGTAAATCGTAATCCTCGCGTCGTTTACCATCCAATGGCAACGCTGTATGCGCAATCTGTGGAAAATGACGAAGCCTTCGCACTTTGCCTGCATGCTTACTGCTTAGGCATTTCGCGAAATCCCTAAAGAGAGGCAGGCAAAGTGCGAACTGCAGCTCCGTTTCTTACTTTGCCTGTTGCATTCGTCATTTCGCGAAATGCCTAGGCATTTTGCAAAATGCCGGATTTCGCAGTTTGCCGGTAACGTATCCATTGTCTGTTAGGAGTTAAAAAAATCACTGAGATCAGTCGAATCATTCCTTTGTGCTAGGGTAATTTTTGAAAATAAGGAAGAATGTTGAATATAATTGGTCTTTCTAGTTACCAAGTTAGAAATGCATGATGTATGATCAACGAAATTTTGATTCAGGGAAGTCACGTTTAATATTAATTCATTTAATAGCCCGCGTTCAAAGATGACTTAAATAACGGGCGATCAAAAATATGTTGCTGTCGAGTCGCCTTTGGAAGTTTTTCCAATGTAAACAAAAATTCCAAAGGTAACTCAACAGCAACTCATTTTTGATCGCATAGTATGAGTCACTGAATTATACTATACGATCAAAAAAGAGTTGCGGTCGAGTCACCTTTGGAATTTTTGATTACACGGGAAATCAGAAATTTAATTTAACCACCAGTATACTGAAACTAAAGGAAATACAATCAATTCAAGTTTTTAAGTTTATTACAAATAATACAAATATTGTAAAAGGTAGTAGGTGCAAATAAGCTAGAAACTTTAAAAGTTTAACATAAAGTCATAAACTACTTTGGTCATAATAATAAAGGAGATATAAATAAAAGAGATATATAAATAAAGAAATATAAAAAAGTTATGCTATACAAGAATTGTAATTTACATTTTATATTTCAACCTTCGAGACAAAGGAATAATTTCTAGGTGGATTCAATGAATATACTCCGTAACGTGATAGTTAAGTTGCCTATACACGCCTGCTCCTAATGAAAAATCCTAGTTACAATTAATTGCGAAAAATGTAAGTTCCTGCAGTAGATGTATAACAGCACAGTTGCGTTAAAGGATTAATACATGTCAAATGTAACCGCGTAAACTTTGACAAAAATGTTATTAAACTAGAAATGATATAAAAAATATCAATTTATCCAGATGGTTCCCAAACATTTAGCAGTCTTTCACACACAATGATAAACCCGTAAACATCTACATAAATGTATTTTAGCGCTGCAAATAACGATATGATATAAAAGGGATAAGGAAACAAAAAATTTGCTAAGGCTGCTGTGAATTATTCGCTGTGAATTATTTTTAAAAATACATAGAAGTACGTGAAAGACTAATATGAAGATGGCAATGCCAAGATATTCTTTTTTGTAGGGAGTTCAATTTAAGAAATACGTGATGTAAACAAGTACAGCTGTTTGGACCAAAACTAAACATTCCGTGTTCGTCGTTTTGTTGTTATACGAGGAGGATCGGCTGCACTCGCTCGTTGCGCACTCCTGTTTGGCGCAATTTCGGAATAAGCGCCTGTGTGTTGAACGGTTGACATCGATAAATTATTATCGTACTGCCGCACAGAAGTTGTTAGTGATTTTTGTGCAGTGAACTTGTGTTGTGGTCTGTGGTGAAAACGAATTATTTTTAGTGTTAACTAAATTATTGTTTATATTAAATATGAGCATTGCTGCTTTGCTTGAGGCTGCAGAGTACTTGGAAAGGCGCGAAAGAGGTCAGTATTGGTTTAATGAACCTTTGTTTACATGAGGGTCGTGCAAGCATTACGTTTACTTATCAGCTGTTATTTACTTCGGGATGTTTTTACTTTTTGCAGAGGCCGAGCATGGTTATGCCTCTACATTACCCATGCCAGATGATCTCAGAAATGTTTACAAAAGGCCAAAGACGAAAAAATCTCAGGGAAACAGGTGAGCGAGCTTATCAATTTTTTTCGGGTTCCTTTGTTTGCTAGAAAAAAAATTGCATAACGCCAAAGTACTATTTCATCCTTTGCGAATGCAGTTCCACATGTACTCAATACGTGGGCAGTGTTTAATAACATGTTTCTTTGTTCTCGACGTACCCAGCATTTTACACACAGTCGCGCTTTGCGTTACGGCCTTCAATGTAGAGTATCGTTGCCTAACAATATCACTATAAAATCGATGACCTTATTTCTACCTTCCGATTATGACCTTAAGAATGTTTTTTTTAATTGCAGGACATCTCATAATGAGCTGGAGAAAAATAGGTGAGTTGTATTACTTTTGTTTTATAATGCGGTAAGCCTTTTGTTACTTATCGTACTTGCAACGTGTTTGAACTTTGAAGGTAGGTACACAATTGCGTATTAGTGTGCTGTGCCGATTGACAACTGAGTAGATTATAAGGTGATGCCATGCAATGAGCTGAGCAGTGCAACAAGGCCGTTCTCATTCGCTTGGTAACAAACCTTTCCTCTGGCTGAACTGAGCCGCTTCGTATAACAATCTCCCCCGTAAACCTTTGAAAGTGACGTGGATATTGTGTTTATAACGTAATTTAAGTCGTCTAGCTGTATTTAATTACATAAAATTCATAAAACGTTCTGTTAAAACCATTGAATAATAACATAATGCTATCTACTTACATACGGTAGTTATTTATAGTTAGTTACCGATTCATAATTATCTAATATTAGATCGTAAATACTAACGCTCATTAGATTACCTTTCAAACACGATCGGGTGACGACTGACGAGCACAGCACGGCAATAAAAGTGCAAAAAAAGATTGCATTTTCTTTATCATCACCAGCAAGATAATTTATTCATTTTCTAATTATCGCTAAACTAATACTAACAACGATGATAAGAATAACATTTGACCTTTGAAATTGTCTTGCGGTCGATCGTCATTATTTTCAACTATTCCGCTGTTATTATTGTATAATTTAATTATGGGATAAACAATAGTATATTGAAAGACAAGTGTTACAATGCGACCTATTGTAATACGACTATCTTGTGGCACGAGTGGCGACGCGAAGCGTAGCCACGAGTGTCCGCAAGATAGGAGTATTACAATAAAGCATTGTAATACGCGTTTTTCATACTGTTTTTTTTATTTCGGTGCTTTAATTTAATTAAAAAAATCATTATCAGAAACTATAGGGAACATTAGAACTAACATGTTTTATGTTGGGAACACTTTTTACGCCGTTAAGTTTTAGGTTGGCAGCGTAGTAAGACTGACATTTTGAAGTTCAAACATGGAAGTACCCAACGAAGTACCTACTTGTACTAAATAGTAACTGCCAACTTAAGAGATGAGTTACGAAAAAAAACGACTATAATCACTGTCTTTGTACAACTGTTTTCGGTCGAAAACAGTTGTACAAAATCATCATTGTGACACCGAAATAGAAAAAAATGATTGTGTTGTTGTATTAAGTTTATTATTAAAATCGTTATGTCTCTCGCAGATTTAGATTGCCTACCAATACGTAACTAGGTAATTTCACCGACTTCCGGACGAACGGTGTTTGCGTTAGGTGGTAAGTGGTAACACTTACACGTAAATGTGAAGTGAAGTTATGAAGTACCCACCTAAAATTCTCCTCAAACGCACCACGCACGCTGAAGCCTTTTTTTTGCTCGGGGCTGAAGTAGTCTTTGTTATACTCGTATTAGTACAAATCAGGTTTGTGAGTAGGCACTAAAGCTTAGTCAGATATTTCTTCTTGAAGGGAAACGAAGAATTCATTTATTGGTCGGTTGTTCGTGTTAGAGAGGGTGTTTACTAGTACTAAGACGTTAGAGAAATTGAACGCAGATGTTTTTAAATCATTTTAAAATTAGAAAAGCTATGCTAGGTCATATTTTTGTTCACCCAAATATCCTCGAATTCAAGGCAAATTTGTGCACAAACCGAGCCGGGAAATTTCATATTTGTACACAAAGAGAAGTTCTATGATGTCGGAGTCGGAAATTGGCATTTGCTATTTGAATGGCTTAATTTTTATTGATTTTCAAATTTGAATGCATAGGTATAGTACCTACAAATGTGCCAAAACCGATTTGCGAATTATTTGAGTTTGTTTGACATTTTTAACAGGTACATCTCCATCCCTGAACTGAAACTCAGAACATTTTTCGTTTAGGTGCAACTCCTAAGTTTTGTTACTATTTTAGTGCTAGAGTTGTAGGTACTTGAACTATTATAGGGTGGGGGTGGGTATGTACTAACTACACAAACCCACAGTTAATAGTTGTGGAGTACAAAGTGGAACGAGACGGACTTATGCAGTAATTAATAATCAGTTAACTGTGTGTTAGTGGAAAACTGAACGAGTGAATGCAGGTACAACCTAAACCGTTTTGGGGGAGGTTTAAACTCTCAAAAAATCAAAACCCTCCCCTGTGTGCGTCCTTGCTTTGTGATAATATGAATAAGCCCATAAAGAGCGTCTAAAAACACGGCAAAGCACCTCGGTGTGATCTTACGGGGTTATTGGATTTGACCCATTTTCAATTGGCTTGCTAAATGTGGTATATGTATATAATTATGTTAACTGTGCAAAGTTGAACCGAATAGATTCAAGCGTTTGCCATAGACAGAGAGGCGTGACTCTACGGGGTCATTTGATTTGACCCATTTTCAATAGGCTTATTACTTGTGGCATTTAGCTCAACTGTACAAAGTTTGAACCAAATCGGTCCAAGCGTGTGACAGTTCGTGTTCACGGACGGACAGACGAACACCATCGACTCCCCCATAAAGCTTGCATCGCTTTACTCTGCCGCTTAATAAATGTAATCAAACCATTTCTTAAACATGTTTATTGCATTTTGTTGAAATTCGCTTATTTTGCTTCCTGGCAGATAAAATAATTAGGTAATGAAACGTGGTTCGGTGCGTAAGTTCCTCGGTAAGTTCATACTTACATACTGTTCAATGTAGGTGCATTAGTTTGAAATGATACAATGAAAGATTTCGAACAAAAGTAAATTGTAGGCAATTCAATTTTCGGCAAAAAGTTTGGGATACTAGTACATTCGTGTCTTGGTCATTTAGTTAGGTAATAGCATTGAATTTATAACTTATCAAATTCAATGGTAATAGTCGTGAGCATTTAAAACCAATTGTCAAATTCTTGACAGAACAGGTTCCTATACTGCATTCATTACACGAAGGTAGTAGATGGCGCTGTGTTTGAAGATAAACACACAGGAAAAATATAAAACGGCACCAAATTATTGTAAAGTAGAGATATTCAGTACTGCAAACAGAAATAAATCTTTGACAATAACAACTAATGACACTTCCGCAGTTTAGTTGGCAACATAAACTACCACCTTACAAAATTCACCAGTCGTTTTATGTTTCATTGTAATACTGACTCGTGTTTTAACCAATCACAGTGAAGGTCAAAGCATCCCTATGCTTTCTACCGCTAAATTCTTAAAATGAATACAGTATAGCTCAAACCATGCTCAAACCAGGTATTAAAAAAAGTTGTTCACAAGTCTTACTTTCTTTATGCATAATGTAAACTGCCAAAATTTTAACGAAATCAAAATAACCGTTTTGCCGACAAAAAATAGTAGGAGCATAATTTTTGTAAATTGCACACAGAAAAAGAATATGTCGTTGCCACACTCTAAATTTTTTCTTCAAAAATCCGGCCGGTTGTTTTATGTTTCCATATGCCCAATATACTTACATATCCAAAATTTGAACAAAATCCGTCAAACCGTTATCTGGGAATATTGCCAACGCGAAATGGCAGTTTTTACACAAATTTCAGAATTATACAATAAGTGACTTGCGTCACAAAAATACGGAATAAGTTCATGAAAAATTCAAATGAAACATCAATTTCCCAATTCTATAATTTATTTAGATATTTACGGCAAATTTATTTTTGTGTTGTCTAGTTTGAACGTTTGTAATAGGTATCGCAAGAAATCTGAGATATCTAGTCATAGCGTGCTATTTCCGAGGCTATTTCGTATCAAAGAAAAGTTTAATATGTTTCCGAAAAATTATGAGCTCTGCCTACTTATACATATCAACATTACTAAAGAATTAAAAATGTACACAATACAAGAGCTTTAAATGTGTCAGTTTCAGTAACATTGAAAGTATTTTAATCTCGATTTTAACAAATTTATTCACAAGTAATACACTCATTGGACCGAAAAACAAAGCGGTTTAATTTTTAAAACAAATTTTGTTTTGTAAAAGTTAAAAAACAAGAACGAAAAAGCACTTTTCGATTTTGCCAAATATTGCTACCACGAAAGGGCGCACCCCTAACTGTAGATCTGAATAAATGCACGTCTTATTTACAAAAAAATGAAAACCACAAATCTAAAATGAAATTAAAATTTTGAAAATTTTCATTTCCACCGCAACTCTTGACCAGACAACGAAAATGGAGAAAATTTCACGAAATTTGTTGTGTACATACTTGATGAGTTAAAGTAGTTAGAGCGCCTTCGGCTGAAGTCAAGCGATGTACTCGGCGTATCTATTACCATTTATTAAGCGGCAGAGCAAACCGATTGTGTCCGTCTGTCCGTGAACACGATAACTGTCAAACGCTTGGACCGATTTGGTTCAAACTTTGCACAGTTGACCTATATGCCACATGCCTATTGAAAATGGGTCATGACCACGTAGGGTCACGCCTCCCTGCTTCTGGCAAACGCTTGAACCTATTCGGTTCAAACTTTGCACAGTTAACATACGAGTCCACATGTAACAAGTCAATTTAAAATGGGTCAAATCCAATGACTCCGTGTGGACACACCGAGGGCGAGGTGCTCTGCCGCTTTTTTAGATGCTCTTTATGGGTTTATTCTTTATTCAATGCTATTACTTATTTAAAAGTAGCCAAAAAAAGTTTTTAAGAAAGAAATACAGTTAGGAATACGGTATGAGTAGTATTTTGTACCTCAGCACAATATAAACGTCATGATTTTTAAAAAGGTATATACAGTAGTTTCGGCAGTAGTCAACTTGACTAGTCTCCCATACATTCGCTTTTTAGCGCATTTCCACAAAAATAAAAAAAAAATGCGCTATTGTGGCCACTTTGTCCGTCCGTCCGGCTGTCCGTCCGTCCGTCCGCTAACTTTGCGACGGTTGCCGGTTGGTCTCTCCGTCTGTTCCTTTGTCTGTCTGTCCATCTATCTGTCCGTGTGAACGATAACTTTGTTTAGAAATGTTCGATCGCTTTTACATCTCCGTTAGTTAGCATGAAATTCAATATGGACATAGCTTTAGCCATATAATACGCAATGCCAAAAGTTGAATCGAATCGATTCAAAATTCACAGTGCCCTTTTCGCATCTCGCCCATTTATAAGCCGAATTGCAAACTTTTTTACTTATAAAAGTATTTGAATGAAATTTGATACATAGGCACTTGGAATAAAGGAAAATCAAACGCCAATTTCAAATTTTGGTTTTGCGCATGCGCAGTGCCAACTTTTTTATTTATGGAAGAATTTAAACGAAATTTGATACATAGGCACTTGGGATAAAGGAAAATCCAACGCCAGTTTCAAAATTTGGTTTTGCGCATGCGCAGTGCCAACTTTTTTATTTATGGAAGAATTTAAATGAAATTTGATACATAGGCACTTCGAATAAAGGAAAATCAAACGCCAATTTCAAAATTTGGTTTTGCGCATGCGTAGTGCCAACTTTTTTATTTATGGAAGAATTTAAACGAAATTTGATACATAGGCACTTGGGATAAAGGAAAATCAAACGCCAATTTCAAAATTTGGTGTTGCGCATGCGCAGTGCCAACTTTTTTATTTATGGAAGAATTTAAACGAAATTTGATACATAGGCACATGAGATAAAGGAAAATCAAACGCCAGTTTCAAAATTTGGTTTTGCGCATGCGCAGTCCA